GTATTTTCAGGATAGCATGGTGATAAAGGCACTGGATTCCCATATGGCCAACCATGGTTTGAGTCCCAGACCCAGCGGCTTGAAAATCATGTCAGGTGCATGTGCATGCATGTCCAAAACTCCAAGAGTAAAGTGGAGGAGAAGGAATTGGGGCATGGCCATCCACCTGGGGGATGATTTCTCATTTTCCCTTCCTCTCTGGCAAGTGCATAGGTCTTATAGCAAAAACCTAAAAATAGTATGTATTTTCAAGCTGGCCTTGTGGTGTAGCCGTTAAATACTGTGCATAGTGAGCTGGATCCCATATGGCTGGTCTGGTTTGAATTCTGGCCCTGGTGACTTGAAAATATGCTAGGTACACATACACATGTATGTGTGCCCCAAATCCTGACAAGATGGAGAAGCAGAGGAAAAGGGATCGTGGGGTTGTTATACTCAACTGGGGAGCGTCTTCTCTCTGTCTCTTTCTCTTTCTCAGTAACTGCACATCCCGTCTAACAATAAAAATTTTTGTTTTCTATCAATCATTTTGTTTGTTTAATTTTCTCTATAGGGTGCATGTGCTCACCAGAGACAGAGAGAGAAAGGGAAAGTAAGAAATCACTCGCCAGGGGTGGTGGCCATGCTACAATCCCATCTCCTCCACTCTCCTCTCGAGATTTTGGGGATGCATATAACATGTACCTGGCATGAATTCAAGCTGTCAGGTCTAGGACTCGAACAGCAGTCAGCCATGTGGGAATCCAGCGACTTAATCACCATGTTACCTGCTTGCCCCCAGAATACTTAATTTGTATGTATACACAATAATTTATTTCTCCAATTCTCTATTGAGATGTGGCTAGAATATTTTCAGGTGTGTGTGTCTGTGTTTTCTCAGCATTCACCAATGATTGAAGCTGAAGTGTCGGATCAAGAATAAACATTTAAAATCTGATAGCTATTACTAAATTGCCTTGCCAAAAAGTCCTACCTTGTAGTAATCATCTTTGAATATCAGTACATTTGGAAATTTGTTATACTATACATTGTATATAATTCATTCTGAATCCTTTGGAAATTGTTCTTGCACATATATTTAAAAACAAAACACTTGGGCTGGCAGGTGGCGTGGTAGTTAAGGACGCTGGACTCCCACGTGGCCGACCTGGCAGTTCAAGTCCTAGACCTGGCAGCTTATTTTCTCACTTTCCCTCTCTCTCTCTGTCCCTTTCTGATCAAACTAGAAGAAAGAAAGAAAGAAAGAAGAAGAGAAGAGGAAGGAACGAAGAAAAAAAAGGGAGGAAGGAAGAAAGTTAAATAATTATTTAAAAAAACAAAAACAAAACACTCACCAGTCTATACAGCCTCAGGGAACTGTTGCAGAAACCAGGTTTCCAGCTCATACTGCTTGTGCGCCCCCTGGTGGCATTAATAGGTCAGGCCCCAGAATAAGTTGGTTTTCTATTATAAAGGTTCCACTATTAAAAAAAAATAATAATAACACGTTTGGGCCCAGCCACTGTGAGAAGCCTGGGTTCGATCCCTGGTCCTACCGAATGGCCAGGCATAGTGGCGCATGCCTGTAATCCTAGTGACTTAGGAGGCTGAGGCAGGTCTCTGCACTGTGAGACCTCATCTAAACAAAACTGAACACTTCACCATTAATCATGAAATGAGTCACTGTGGCGTTCTCTACCACTTTCTTTCAAAACTTTTTAAAGTTTTCTTCTTCCAATCTTCATGAGAGACAGAGAGACAGAAAAGACAGAAAGGCAAGCACTCCCAACAGGGTCTTACACAGTGATCCTTCTCCCAGTCAGCCAGGATGACAAGACACACTCCAGTGAGCCTGAAACATACAAGTCAATCCAGGAGCCACACCCTGACCTTCCTTATGACTTCCTGCATCACGGTGTCATGCTGCCACTGTTCCACTGTGGTGTTTTTTTTTTTTTTTTTTTTTTTTTTTTTTTTGGTGGCCAGGGGCATGTGCACTAGCTGGAGAGAGACAAGAGAGAGGAACAGTGAGAAATTACCCCCAAAGGTGGGATGGCCACACAGCCATCTCTTCTCCTCCATTCCCCACTCAGAATTCTGGGCACACACATATAGATGCCTGGCATGTTTGGTCCACCTTTTTTATTTTAGAGGTTTTTGCTATAGAGCGCATGTGCTCGCCAGACAGACAGAGAGACAGAAAGCGAGAAATCACCCCCCAGGGGGGATGGCCACACAGCCATCTCTTCTCCTCCATTCCCCACTCAGAATTCTGGGCACACACATATAGATGCCTGGCATGTTTGGTCCACCTTTTTTATTTTAGAGGTTTTTGCTATAGAGCGCATGTGCTCGCCAGACAGACAGAGAGACAGAAAGCGAGAAATCACCCCCCAGGGGGGATGGCCACACAGCCATCTCTTCTCCTCCATTCCCCACTCAGAATTCTGGGCACACACATATAGATGCCTGGCATGTTTGGTCCACCTTTTTTATTTTAGAGGTTTTTGCTATAGAGCGCATGTGCTCGCCAGACAGACAGAGAGACAGAAAGCGAGAAATCACCCCCCAGGGGGGATGGCCACACAGCCATCTCTTCTCCTCCATTCCCCACTCAGAATTCTGGGCACACACATATAGATGCCTGGCATGTTTGGTCCACCTTTTTTATTTTAGAGGTTTTTGCTATAGAGCGCATGTGCTCGCCAGACAGACAGAGAGACAGAAAGCGAGAAATCACCCCCCAGGGGGGATGGCCACACCGCAATCCCTTCTCCTCCATTCTCTTCTCGGGATCTTGGGCACGCACGCACACGCACCCGGCGTGAGTTTTAAGCCACCGGGTCCAGGACACGAACCACGGTCGACTACGTGGGAATCCAGCGACATAGCCATTACGCTAACTGCTGGTTCCCTCCTCGCCTTTCTTTTTGACATGTCTTTGCATCTGTAACAGAAGCTCCAACCCAAATATCAAGAATCTAATTTTAGATGAGAATTAAAAAAAAAAAGAGTGCCTGCCAATGGCATACTGGTTAAGGCTGTGGGATCTCATATGGCCAAATGTGCAGTCTGAGTCCTGGACCTGATGGCTTGAGAAACTGTGCTGGGTGCATGTACCAAAATCCTGAGGAGAATGAGAAGGGATCGTGGCATGGTCATCCCCTCTGGGAGGTACTTTCTCATTTCTCTTTCTCTGCCCGGGAACACACACATCTTAGAGCAAAACAAAACAAAAATGAAAGACTGAGTGGATTACATAATATGGTATGTAACTTATTTCTCAATGAAATTATTTTAAAAAAAGTTACCAGGGCTTGGGACCAGCAGTTAGCGTAATGGCTATGTCGCTCGACTCCCACGTAGTCGACCGCAGTTCGAGTTCTGGACCTGAAGGCTTAAACTCACGCTGGGTGCATGTGCGTGCGTGCCCAAGATCCCAAGAGGCAGATGGAGGAGAAGGGATTGCGGCGTGGCCATCCCCCCTGGGGGTTGATTTCTTGCTTTCTGTCTCTCTGTCGCTGTCTGGCAAGTAAACGCGCCCTATAGCAAAAAACCCCTCTCTAAAAAAAAAAAAAAAAAAAAGAACATTCAAAAAAAAAAAAGCTACCAGGGGCTTAATGGTTAGTTCCTGTATGTGTAATGAAAAAGTTTGGAAATACCGGGTTGTCAGGAAAGTCATGATACATTTTCTTTTCTTTTTAAATTTTATTTATTCATTTATTTTAATTTGATCAGAGAGAGAAAGAGCGTGGGAAAGTGAGAAAGCAAGCCACCAGGTCCAGGACCCAAACTGTGATAGGCCATGTGGGAGTGTCCAGCGCCTTTACCACCACGCCACCTGCTGGTCCCGATCATGATACATTTTCACATAGAAAAATATGTCATGACCTCCCTGATGACCTGACAGTGGTGATGTTTGTATAAGCATGAGTGTAATTAGTATCACTGAACTGTCCACTGAAAGTAGCACATACTGTTATGTACATGTTATCACATATATGCACAAGAGTACTGTGACATGCAATAACAGGTGAAAATGAAAAACATGTTAAACGAAAGAAGTAAGACACAAGGTCATGTGTCATGTGATTCTATTTCTATAAATTACCCAGAATAAACAAATCCAGAGACAGAAAGTAGATGAGGAGTTAAGGCAGGGCTGACCAGTACAGCGTAGATATGTCCTTTTGGGATGATAAAAATGTTCTGGATTTAGCCAATGGTAATTGCTGTGAAACGTCATGTATGAGGGGATCTTCAAAAGGTTTACAGAAAATATGTATTCTGAAAACATAATGTATCAGTTTAAAAAAATTTTTACACAATAAACTTATACTTTAATTCCATTTTTGCACATTAAAAAAACTGTTTTCCTAAGTTTTTTGTTACAGAGTGTGTGTGCTCTCCTGAGAGACAGAAAGTGAGAAATCACCCCTTATGGGGATGACCATACTGCAATCTCTTCTCCAGTCTCCTCTTGAACTTTTGGGCACACAAGTACAAGTACCCAGAGTGTTTTTCAAGCTGCCGGGTCCAGGACTCAAACCATGCAATAGGTCATGTGGGGATCCAGCCACCCTAAATACACCACCAGCTGTCCCTCCATGGAGTTTCTGAAGTGCCCTCATAGATATTAAAAACTACTTAACTATATACTTTTTTTTTTTTTTTGGAGAGATTTTTGCTATAGGGCGTGTGCACTCGCCAGACAGACAGGGAGAGACAGAGAGACAGAAAGCGAGAAATCAGCCCCCAGGGGGGATGGTCACGCCGCAATCCCTTCTCCATTCTCCTCTCGGGATCCTGGGCACGCACGCACATGCGCCCAGCGTGAGTTCCAAGCCACCGGGTCCGGGACGCGAACCGCGGTCGAGTACGTGGGAATCCAGCGACATAGCCATTACGCTAACTGCTGGTTCCCTTAACTATATACTTTTAAAGAATATTATAGGATTTCAATTTTATCTCAAAAAAAAAAAAAGTAAGTCAATGTCAAAGATAATAAAGTTTTTCTGACATGGAATGTTAGAAACTTCTTTATTATTACTTATTCCTATTAAGCACCAGCTTAATACTGCCAAAATTTCAAATCACCCTTGGACAACCCACTCTCCCTCCCCCCACTCAAAATCTTGATCAAGAGCTTTCCAAGCAAAGACATGCTCTCTTCTCTCTTCCGTATAAAATTTTAGGAAACAAAGGCAAAGGATTGTGTACATCTCGCTGTAAAATGCTGCTCGTGTCTGGAGACGGTAGCTGCCCAGGATCCCTTCACTGTCCAGGTCCTGAGAGGCTCTTGTTCATGAACTGTCTCTTCACAAAGCAAGTCCACCACTAACGAAGCGGAACAAAAGAAAATGAACAGTGGGGGGTCAGGTCAGAGTTCAGTGTTTTTTGTTTGTTGTCTTTTGTGGTTTTTGTTTGTTTTTGAGAGATTTTTGCTATAGGGAATGTGTGCAGGCCAGACAGAGAGAGAGAAAGTGGGAAATTACCCCTCTAGGGAGGATGGCCATGCTACAGTCCCTTCTCTCTATTCTACACACACCCAGAATGAGTTTCAAGCTAGCAGGTCCTGGACTTAAACCATGGTCAGCCACTATATTACCTGCTGGCCCCATACCTCAATGTTTTAAAAAAATTTGCCAGGTACTGGCAGATGGCATGATGGCATGGTGGTGGGGGCAGATGGACTCCCACATGGCTTACTCCAGTTCAAGTCCAGGACCCAGCAGCATGCTTTCTCACTTTCCTCTCTCTCTCTGTCTCTCCGGTCAACTTTTAAAAAATAAAATAAAATAATAACAATAAATTAAATTAAATTAAATTAAAAAGATAAAGTTTGCCAGAGGGCACATGTGCTTGTCAGAGAGAGAGGCACAGAGGAAGAAAGCAACCCTCAAAGGTGTATAATCATACCACAGTCCCTTCTCTTTCATTTCTTCATCTTGATGGAATTTCGGGCACATATGCGTACGTGCCTGGCATGTTTTCCAAGCTGCCAGGGCCGGGATTCAAACCAAGTAAATTTATATGGGATCCAGCTCCCTTAACCACCAAGCCACAGGGCTTGCCTCATAATGTAATTTCTTCTCTCTGCTTTTTTTATATAGAGAGATTTTTGCTATAGGCCGCATGTTCCCAGGAGAGACAGAGACAGACAGAAAGCAAGAAATCACCCGCTGGGAGGGTGGTCATGCCACAATCTCTTCTCTGTTCTCCACTCAGGATCTTGGGCACAATTGCACATGTGCCTGGTGTGAGTTTAAGCAACCAGTTCTGGGATTCAAACTGCAGTCAACTACATGTGAGTCCAGTGACATAACCATTATGTCACCTGCTGGTTCCCCCACAATG